AAATAGCATAAAAGAAAAAATCATGATATGACAGGTGCAGTACGAAAAGGACTTTGTGACACTTTTGAAGTTGACAGGAGGGCGCTAGGAAACTATCATAATTTTGTTTTACATATGTTCACCGTGCATTGGGTTAGATATCCTTGTCAGATACAGTACCACAAAGTGCTTGTGACTCTTTTTTGATATTGAAAGGGGGGCGCTAGTGAGTTATAATAATTTAGTTTCGCAATTATCCACCGGAACAGATAACGTCAGTCTATGTCTGCAAAACTGTAATGCAGGAAAATGCTAAGTACATTGCGAAGGAAGAGATAACAAAAGATATCATCAACATAAGAAAACAATTTAACGGAATATGCTTGTTTAAAATGAATTCAAAGTTATAATTTCAAGCGAACGAACTTGAGAGCAGCAAATAGAATACGAACGTAATGCTTATTCATAGAGAAAAAAGATAAACTTCCTACATTTTAGCATTTCTTACTGTAATTTTCCACTGTGCATCAGTTTTTTTTTCGAGAAGAAAACTTTTTTAACGATTTTGGTTAATGGAAAGAGACGATTATCATTCATTACTTGGGTCATAAAGTTTTTTCCGTGATCCGAATAGTTCCTGATGATTAAAATAATTTCAAGTAATAAATTAACCTATAGGTCAAAAGATACGTTCGGAAATTTACGTTGAGTCGTGTTTGTCATGAAATAACGGAAATACGATCTGGGTTTTTTAATTTACTTTTATTTGGCATTTGTACTGTCAATACCCAAGTATAGAAACATTATGTCTCTGTTTTTTTAAAGAGAATGAGTGGGATGGCAATATCTTTTTATACTAGTATTTTAGCAATGACAACCCAGTTAGTTATCGCCTTGGATCTAATTTGGATGTCAATAATAGCGTTTCCGAATATACTTATATCCTTTTCTATCTTTGATACTATTTATGAGTAATTTTAGTCGAAGGTCGATTAGTTTAGCGAATACTAAGCAAAGGCTAAATAAGGAGAAACCGAATACGTAAATTATGTTCATAAAATTATTAATGTTTCAAGGAAAAAGTACAAAGTCAAAAAACAACGATTCATACAAAGTAAAGATTTCAAATTCCTTTAAATAACAGTAAAGAGATTATCGAATTGTATTTTTCATTCATCATAAAAGATTAATTCAGTGTATATTTAGCGCTTCTGTCATTATTCTGTTTTTAAGTTCGTCGACCGACATTGACTTTTCCAGGCGGAATAAATCTCCTGGAATAAAGCAATTTAGTAACATCGAGAAGTTCAAGACCTTTTAAGTAGCTATAATTAAATCTTTAAACTGTATTCCTCTCTGCTTCCGATTCTTTCCGAGAATTTTGTTCCGGGGCGTCGCTGATTTTTAATCTTTATTCCGGGGAGTCGCTGATTTTTAATCTTTGTTTCGGTGGAGTCGCGTCACTAATCTTTAATCTGTGACTGCTTCTTCATTGGTTTTTCCCGCTAAATTTATATGAGTATTTTCCGAATAGCCAACCTCACGGTGTAAAACTGGTTGATATCGAAACGAAGGTGATCTACGCAATTCATCTACATGTTTGTGGCCCATTTTAAAAGTAACCTAGTGAGAAATTTTCAACGGCTTGTATTATATTGTATTTGACATTAGTCAAGGTTAAATAGGCTTGGTATGCATATTTTATGGAAGGAGAAGGTAAAATTAATAGAGAGAACTTTCAATGGCAATTAATACTTTTCATGAGTCATAATACGACTTATCTTACTAATATTATAAATGCGAATATTTCGATGGATGAATAGATGTTTGTTCGAAGGTATCTCCAGAACGGCTGAAAGGATCTTGATGAAATGGCACAGATATACATCATAGTCTGGAAGAACACATAGGCTACTATTTTTTTTTAATCCGCGGCCGACAGCTCGTCACCATTAAATTTTATACAACTGATACAAGAAATATTTATCCAGATGTTTACACATAACCTGTGTCTTGCAATTATTATGTAAAGTTGCCAGTTAAGCACATCCGCACACAGTTAGGCAACACCAGAGCTTGGGTTACACAACCAGTTATCGGCCAGTGCAAATGTGAGGGAATTCTTTACCATAATTATACGTATTCACAGATTAAAAAATGTAGATTATAAAGTTTGTTAATATTGTAAAGTTTGTAAATTTAAGCGTCAATAGCCTGATGGTTAAGAGTACGGATTTCCGATCACGAGGTCGGGGGTTCGAATCCCGCCATTCGACTATTGTCGTAAACCATATCCTAGCACAAGCCCAGAGCTCAGTTGGAATGGTAAAAAGAAATATAAGTAAATTTCCAAAAAAAATCTGCTAATAAATAAAAAAAACAAAAAGTTTGTAATTATTTGTAGGGCTTCAAAACTTTTCCCATTAACTTGCTTTACTTTAAAAACATTTTTAAACTGTGCATTCAAGACAATTCGTTTAAATAAGGGTTTTTTTTTTAAAATTGTCTATTGTATTCCCATACGTTTGTCTCACTCTGAAGCGACTGCCGAGCATGTTCGTACGATTCCGGATTGTGTGTAAATGAACCCTTACAATACATTTGAGTACCGGACATTAGTTACCGGACGGTAGTAGTCGACGTGTGCGTCCAATTATAATAGTTATAGCTTACAATTTTACACTTTAACACCATGGTATAAAGTAGGTTATAGCTTACAAGGTGTCATGTTACGCAGACCGTTACTAATTTGAAGCAAAGGATACAATTTCACCATTGATATGGTTAAATTGATTACAATGAAAGTTGGTGTGAACGCGTTCTGGAGGTCGAATTAGAATCTATTGGTACAACTACAAGAAAAAAAACTTTATCTGAGTAAACTTAACGATAGCTGTTGTTTTAAACCAGAGATACGAAGTTCGGGTAGATCTTTTTGTAGTCTATTAACTGGCTTGAAATAAAGTTTAGGCTTTACAATTAGAAGAAAAAATGAAGTATAAGTATCAGCTGTAGATTTCATTGAATCATTGATGTTAAATTTCGAATTTCGAATCCCTGTTTTTTAAACAATTACTGGAAGTGACCACAACACTGTCAATTGAGCCGAGATAAGTTACTAAAGGTGCCTTTCAGTTAATGAAGAGCATTCGTCCGGTGTAAATATAAATGACGCACTAAAGTCAAGGTCGTTACCTTTGGGTGTGCTGAAGGAATTTTTATTTTTAAAATTATGCGTACGCAATTTCCTGTTAGGACGTGTTAATGTCTTAAAAATATAACTATAATTAAAACAAAAGTCCGGTTCAATATCATGGAATGTTGTTTTATTCATGTTTTGTTTAACTTGAAATAATTTCACCCATTACACTGGCAATAATCGTATAACGGATTAAACGAAAAAGAAGCATATTGCAATGAAATGCCATTTGTTGAAACGAAAACAAGATGGCCGCCAACAATCATCGCAATAATTATTTCGTCCTTTGAGTAATCGTAATTAATGTATTTTCCTGATAATTATTCATCCATTAAAAGATTGCATTGAACAATAACTATTGTATGCCTTTCATAAAAAATATAAACTTCTTTGCTCGTTTAATATAATAAATCGGTGCATAATCTTTGGTTTTCGAAAACGCCCGCCATAAGATCATTTTTCGCGCCTGTTTTAGTCGTACAGTATTGCCAACTTTTAAAAATGTATTCTTTTGGTAGTTAAAAATTTTGATTTAAATAATATAAATAATTTACAATATTGGTTATACTGTGATTCAAAGTTTTAAAACATTCATAGGATATTCAATCGTTTAAATATGTTTATAGTTGCTATTTTAAAAATGCAGTTGTATAAGAAGTGGGTTGGGACATGTACAATCAAATAAATTCTCTATAAGCGAGTAACTACGGCCTTGTAATGCATGTGGTATGCATTTAAATTGTCAATTGCTACCACTGACCAGTAAGTAGTGGACCAGTGGCTTGTTATTTTAAGAACTTTTAGTCATTGTCTGGTAGTAAACAAGACAATATATTTATCTGCCTTGAAAGTATAAGGATGTAAAACTACCATAGATGAGATTCTTTATTAAATTTCTGCTCACAGAGTATGTAACACACAGAGTATGTGACTACAACCTTATGGTTTTAGGGCAAAGATGTAACTTTCTAAAACACATGTCCTTAAATATGTGTGTCTCTGTTTAATTCATAGAGAGTGAGACAAATGACAATATATTTTTATATATGTATTTCGCCAGTAACCCACAGTAAGTATAGTTCGTTTGGTAACTCAAGATTAATCTCATGTACATTATTGCATGACAATTGGTTTCAGTTCGCGTGAGTTGAAACCGCAATCATAAAACTCTGTTTACACATTGTAACGCAATCGAGACAAAGAAGATTGGCTTTAACAAAGATGTTATGATTTTGTCTGACTGAAAAAAGAGTATCTTTCTTATAATGTAATGCTTTCCATTCTAAGCTCCTGTAGTCTAAATTGCTTGACTGATTTTAGATATTAAGGTGTCATTCCGCTTGAGTTCTTTTTTTCAAAATATCCATATAAGTTTTTGTTAGTTAAAACGCATCTAAAAAAAAATAATAAAGTTGTAATGAAAAATGAAAATAGAAAAGTTTTAACCGTCTCGTAGCAGATATTTTACAAATTATTTTCTTGCAAATTTCCATAATATTACTTTACTAAGACAATAGAAATCTACTTTGAGATCGGAAATCGTTCTAACAGGGTCAAGAGTTTATAAAGGACGCGCGTGTGGCAAATATTTATTTCTTTAAATATGTCAAATATGTCGCAAGTAACGCCATCTAGTTGTGAAATATAGACAAGCAACGACACACGGTCGAACTTTCAATGTTCTTTTAACTTAATAAATAAAAAAACATTCACATCTTTCTTATATAACCAGTGAATGGCGTTTTTCTCAATTTAAATTTAAAACAAAATCACCCGTTTTTCTTGATAGTTCATAAAATTTAACAATGTATGTTTGTTGCAGACACCATGTCGACTTCAAATAAACTGCAATCGGAGAGAGTGAAACAAATGTTCAGTTGGACAACGGGGTGAGTAAAAACTACACGCAAATCATAATACTTATGAGGATTTACATACTATTACTTTAAAATAAATTAAGTTTCTGATTGTGAATATCAGCTACATTCCTACTCTTTACATTTAACTATAAATATGAGCAAGACAATCTTTAAATTATAAAATTAAGTACATAATACACGCAGGAGATAAACTAACACACCTGACACACATAGACATAACATCTTTTGAATGATGTAATGACCGGGGCCGCTGATGCAAGACCAACTTTCGCGACCAGCTGAGAACGATAAGCAGACATAATAACCTACTTAAACACTAATACCGTATATATTGAACTCTATTTTTTGTTTAAAATTTAGTAGCTTTTTGAAAATCTTACTTGCAATATTTTTTTAATCTATAATTTGTTAATATTGGTGCCATCTATTAGTAGTATTGGAAACTATTTATGCAATATTCTATTACACTATCTGCTATCCGTCACAAGATGGCGCTGACATATATTTAGTTATGGGACAGATGAAATTAAGTTAATTTTCATTACAAATCTAGACATAATTAATTAAAAATTCTTTTCAGCTATTTGCCAATGCCTTACGAGTATAAGGATATTGGTTTTGATTGATTCTTTTTGGGAAAAGTTAAGAAAATGAATAAAGTGCGTTGATGGACTTTGTTTGTAAATAATAATAATAATATTAAGCTTGTGGCTTCCTTTAAATTTTATTATCAATACACAAGGATAGTCAAAGCAATAGATCAAAATGTAAACGTTTTTAAACTTTTTGATAATAATTACTGTCAACGGCGTGTGTAAAAATCCTTCACCTTAAAGATCAAGGCTTTTCTGGGTAGTTCTTGCAAGTCGTAATGATATAAGCCTTATTCCTCTGCTTTACACGCGCGTTATAACCTTTATAATAATTATCATGTTGTTAAAATTTATTTAAATAACTTAAAAAAAAAGGTTGGTAAGAATATAAGGGTATATTATTTTTATAAGTAAAAGATGGCATAAAAAAAATAATTCAACTTAAGTATTCAGTCAGATTTTTTCAGTTGTACTAAAATCAAATTAATGTAGTAACACAGCTTTGTTTATCCTCATATGATTATTGAATTCTAATTTCGTCTTAACTGCTATCGTAATACGATCTATAATCGCTTAACTGATAAGCAATTTCTTAACAGCTTGTGTTGCCGATTTCGCAAAGTCCTGCGGAAAAACCAAAATACCGGATGAACATTTAAAATACGACTCAATGCAATTGTAATAAAGTTTATTTTTCCTTGTAATATGTAATAGAATTTTATAGCAAGTAAGTGATAAAGGTAATTAAACTTTATAGTAACGGATTAAAGTAGTTATTCCATTGTTATTAAAAAAATGTATAATTTCAACATAAAACTGGTTATTTTATGTTTATTTGACGAATTTTTACTTCTTACTAATATTATAAATACGAATGTTTGAATGTATTCATGTTTGTTGGAAGATATCTTCAGAATTGGTGTATTGATCTCGTTAAAATTTGGTATAGATGTAGAACATAGTCTGGAAGAACACATAGGTTACAATTATTTTTAATTCCGCGGGGACGGAGTCGCATGCAACAGCTAGTATTTATATAATATAATTGTATCAAAACCTGTAATTATAATTGTTGTTTCTTCTCTTTAAATGCAAAAACAGCGTCTTTTGGGTAAATTTATTTTATGTAAAAAAATACGTTTTATTTATAAAGTAGTTTTTCATGTGATTTCGTTTCCGCGATATTAAAAAAAAAGCTTAAGTAGCCTATGTGTTCTTTCTGAAAGTGATTTTCATGTATATAACATTTTATTTAGATCCATCCAGCTCTTCTGGAGATACATCATAAGCAGTAAAAATAGTTATGCTAGAAATTACCGGCAAAAATTTGGTGAGTCAGGCAACTGAGTTCCAACTGCGTAAAATTCATGATTGGGAGTTCGGAACATCAATTGAACCAAAAAAACTATCGAATGGTTAACACGACTTTTAGACTTACTTGACTTAAGCCCTATGTCCCGGTAGTGGGGCAGAGGGCGTCCACAGTGCGCTGCCAGTTTGTTCTATCTTAGGCTCTGCGTTTGGTCTCGGGCCATATCAGACCGATTGGCTTCATGTCGGCGGCCACTGAGCGCAGCCAAGTTTCTTTAGGACGTCTTCTTATTCCTAGAGGGATCCACTCCATAGCCTTCCTGGGAATATAACTGGGATCCCGACGAAGCGTGTGACCGATCCATGACGACTTGCGGCAAAACGACTTCACCTTTTTATTACAAGCCTACGTGACTTCGACTTACAATTTTTTTTTATATTTTGTATTATATTCAAACTGTAGACATTTGCATTACGTCGACAATGTATCCTCTGAGCTGTAGTTTTCAAGAAATGTGTAATTCAATAATTTATTGACAAAGTGGCGTGATTTTTTGCAATAATCGTGATCGCGATAGAACATTTTATTACATTGCAATTTTATTACTTTAAACAAAAAAAGGTTTTAACAAAAAAATTATAATTGTTTTTATCGCGAAAGTTAACGTATTTATATGATAAATATATTTAAAAATTGCAATTAGCAATCTACTGTTAAACTAAATTATCTTGAAGCATTTCCTTAGATATAACAGAGGTAGACGTCAACAAAAATATCTGTTGCACGAATTTGCTCGTCCACTGCAATACAATGACCGCACAGAAGACAGGCGTGAAGTGGAAGCAAGCAAGTCGTCCTGGAATCCTAATTTTCGTCCTCTTTCCCTTCCCACCCTTTTCTTATAAGGAAAGGACAAAATGGGGGAATATTATCTTTCTGTGGGTCTCTTTTTCCGTGGGTAAAATGTAGATAACGCATCTGCTAATGCAGATTTCTGTGGGCAATAGTCACTTTACTATTTTAGAGAATACAAATGGCTGCTTGCTCGGTTGCCATGTTTTGTTTTAAAAAAAATGTCCGTAGTGTACATACTTAAATATTTTTGCGAGTTGACGTGGACGCTTGCTTGTTTGCTAGCTGAAAAAAATCAAGAGTCATCGTTCTGACGGACGACCTCCATAAACGAGAAACTCATGGTAAAGAAAAACCTCTGTAAGCGAGAAAAGTATTAATTGAAAACTATATACCTTATAATTAAAGTCTACATAACTAATTAACATGATACAAAGTATTTTTTTTTACAATAAACTTCTTTTGCAAAGAAATTGTAATTAAAATAATTGACGAGAAAATGCTTGATATATTTAACAAAACTTGGTTATACAATTAGTAAATTTCGCGCGTAAAATAAAAGGTCAACTGTCAAAAACCACAGACTAACATTGACAGTTTACGAAGGTTGTCATAGACAAAAAAAATATAATTTTTATTCATATCGTTACTTAAAGACCTTGCTAGTAAGTTACCTTGTAATTACTCACTCTTTAATTATGCAACAAAATAATCACATTACATACAATACTATCCTTAAAATATATTTATCTGTAAGTATGCCTTTATCTCTTACTAATATTATAAATGCGAATGTTTAGATGGATGTTTGCTTGAAGATATCTCCAGAACCACTGAACGGATCACGATGAAATTAGGCATACATATAGAACATAGTCAGAAAGAACACATGAGCTACTAATTATGTTTTTTTTTTTAATTCCGCGTGGACGGAATCGCGGACGACCGCTAGTTTTCTTATATAAATGGAATCTGCAGGTTTGGCAGTAAAGGGGACGCATAGGAAGCAGAAGTATCCTGTTTCTGCGCGTTCTGCACTCTGTGGATTAATCGTAGACAACGCATCTGCAAATGCAGATGTCTAGGGGTTATTTTCACTTCGCTGTTTTAGTTTATACAAGTCGCCGCTTGCTCGGTTTGTCTATGCATTATTTATATTTTGCAAAACGTAACATGTATGACGCATATTTAAACAGATTTTGCATTATAAGTTGATTTTTTTATATCAATTGAAACGAATATCTCAGAGAAATATTTCCGTCCACATAAAATGTCCTTGAGTCTTACTATAGACAAATATCAGGAAACGACAAATATTATCAAAACCAGTTTAAATACTTTGCATAATACCGGCCAAACAACTAAATGTCCACTAAAATGGTACTAAAATTAGACAAGTCTTTTGGAAGGTTTCATTACTAATAAAAATAATTAAAATGCATCACCAATGGATTTAAAATTCTTATACCTTGAAAGCCATTTGTGACCATTTAATATATTTTGATGGCCATTTTATAATTTCTAAAATTAAATAATTTAGTAAGAAAAGAGAGATTTCTTTTTTTCCTCAAAAAGTGACATTCCATTCAACGATAAAATCATGTCTAATGTTAGACGATTTCAGTGTTAATTTGTTGAGACCGTCCACGCGGTATTTAATAAAATTAATTAGTAGCCTATGTGTTCTTCCATACTATGTTCTACATCTATACCAAATTTCATCAAAATCTGTTGAGCCATTCCGGTGATACCTATTAAAAAAATCCATCTAAACATTCGCATTTATAATATTAGTAAGATGTTTATGACAAAGCTTATATTTCACGTAAAGAAATAATTATTTACGATGGATGAAACCATGTGTTAACAATTCCATCAGTTGGATAATAATCAATCGTGAGCTATGGCGTCACACGTCCAACGTAATTACGTCAAAATGGCGGCAACCCGTGAACTGTGCTAATCTTATAATTGTCTATGATTTTTTTATGAAACAACAATAATAAAGAATAAGAAGTACAGAACTAAAACTCGTAGATATCAAAATTTTTGCGAAAAAACATTTAAGACTATTTCAATCTATTTTACCTTTGACATATTGTAATGGACGCCATGTATGGAATTTGACGTTTAAATGTTTTGAGGTTAGTTTTGAAAAGAATATGCATTTTTAGATATTTACTGCCAACTGATTAATTGCAGTACAGTCTAAGCAATAATCTTTTTTTCTATACATTATAAAAAGAAAACAA